TCGTTTTAATGCCAGCATTCGCATATCTGATGAGAGCTGAGTTTGCGAATATGTTTAAAATTACTTTCACTACCAAATAAGGATAAACTTATGATTCATAAAGAAAATGTGGAACTAGAGAAAGTATGAGCTTACAAATGTGCAGACATATCYAGATGGAGAAACCCGGTAGGAAAATTTTTGGTTAAAAGTAATAAATGTATAGTACATTAGTTCCTTAAGTGAAGTTTTCATCAATTTTCGAAAACTTTTGTGAGTTAAAAATAATAAATATTTGAATTAAAAATAAATTCGTTCTCTACAGATTTTTACTGTTTCACAAGCTAAGTGAAGCTTTTCATAAATCATCGAAGGCTTTCGTAGGTTAAAATAATAAATATTTTGAATAAATATAAAGTCACTCTCTTAATATTTTCTCTAGTCAATAAGCTTTCGAAAGCTTTTGTGGGGTACAAATAATAAACATTTTATATAAAACTAATTTCGCTATCTTTCCAATTGGAGCTTCATAAATTAAAGGAAGCTTTCATTCACATTTTCAGTGCTTCATAAGCTTAATCAAGCTTTCATAATCTTTCGAAAGCTTTTATGGATTAAAAACAATAGAGAAGTTTATATTAATATAAATTCACTCTCTCAACTTTTTACTGCTTCCTTAACTAAGTGAAGCTTTCATATAAGCTTTTGTAGGTTAAAAATAATAAATATTTCAAATAGATATGAATTCGTTCCAATCACATTTCTACTGATTTCTAAACTAAGTGAAGCTTTCATACACATTTTCATTACTTCGTAAGCTAGATGGAACCTTCGTAAACTTTTGAAAGCTTTTGTGAATAAAAAATAACATAATAATAATTGAAAAAAATGGAAATTAGCTTTATTTTCTTTGCTAAATATGAAACATGAAGCTTTCATGAGCAATCGAAAGCTTTGACTGAAAAAATTTCTTGTAGGGAAATTTTATGCATGCATCAAATAATTTCATATTTGTGTGGCAGTAATATTTTACATATATCTGAACAAAGAAACACTCATAATCTTTAGGGTGGCACAATTTAATTTTCTGGATATTCTTAAGTCTTTCGCTTAAGTTTGAAATTTTATTAAATTTCTTTATTTAATGTTTAGCTTTTTCCAAAAAAATAATATATAAAATTCTTAATGAAACCTCCATAAAATATTAATTTTACACTAAATCCTTAAATACAACATTCTGTCACTAAAATGTTGGAATTACTCAAAAAGTATAAGGACTTTTGAAATTTTCTCTTAATAAAAATATAGATGTATTCGATATAACCGTGCTAATATCGGCCCGATAGTAATGACGAACATGCGAGTACGTTTTTGTCTGAAAAAATATTCTCGAAAAGCCTATTAGTAGTCGAGTTCGGCTTAAACCTTGCATATGGCAGAAAGCGACCTGCCTTTTTGAGAATAYGATTTTTCATAGTAGAAAGTGCTCGACATAAGAAAAAAATATACGTAAGTTAACATTTATACCATCTTATAAAGTTGAAGAGTACCTTTAGTTAGCTYTGGTATAACAAATAATGTAATTATGTATATCAGAAATATCGTCACATCCTAACGTCTGMGGTTAAGCATATGCATCCGATAACCTACAACAAACAGTAGCACATACCATATATCATTATAACAAATGCAAGCTGCATGACTCAGTACCTATTTTCTATGTTTTTTTGCCTTTCATTCTAATTTTGTGCACACTCTTGTCACATCTAAGATTTTAAACCAAATAAGAAAAGGGATTAAAACATAAAAGAGAATGTTAAATTAYGAGATAATAAATTTCGCAAATTCTACTTTCACTGCAACCGCATGTCGGTGGTGAAACGGTGKAATAAAGGTGTGTGTACGGGAGGCAAAAGCGAGATGATAAATTCTAGTTTGCAAATAGTTGTGTGGACAAACACAAACACAAGCATATGTAATGACATATATGTATAGGAGAGCATATGTTCTACACCTTTACATATGTATATGTCATATCTCTGCTTCAAGTTTCTAATACTTTCTGTTATAAATTCAAGTGCAAGCGTGTGTGTCCTTATTTGTGCATAGATTAGTTTGTTGTCCAGCGCAATTATTCAACATGAACTTGACAATTATGGTACACTTATTAAACTTGGCATTAAGTCGCAAACAAATTTGTTAAAAGTTATGCATATATGTGTATGTATCTATGTTTAAGGCAAAATAGTCAAATGCAAATTAGGAAAAAAGCTCCGAAAAAAAATCGAACAGAAGAAAAATTTAAGGTGAATATAAATTCAAGTGAAATTTGGCAGGGATTATGAATATTGGCAAGCTTTGTGGCAATTTTTTCAAGCCAAATAAAGCAGCTTGGTGAAAAGGAAGAATTAAAGGTTGAAAATAGTTCCCACTGTTACTTGTTGAAGCTATTTTTGTAAATGCTATAAGGAGAAGACTTCAGAGCATCTTCTATGCGTAGATAAGGCTCTATATAGGAAAATAATCACCACTATCGATTCAGATTATTYTGACATCTTGAAGGTTGCACAATTAAAAGAACAGAAAGAAGCAGAAGCAAGAGGTAGTTCAGATTTGAGGCATTGGAGGGGTATTTAACTTAAACGTGTTTTTTTCTTGATAAAACGGTTTTATTTAATCAAAATACAATATGATTTGATGAGAAATGCTTCATCGAAACATTTGTTTCTCTTTAGAGGCACCTAAAATCAGCTATCTTCTTTTCTCTCATCATCATTTTCCCCACATATCTGTACTTATATAATTGTATTTTATTTGCGACAGTTATATTGCAGAATTTGACTTTGTTTATAAAGACATACATCAACACATCTTTATACCTAACATAAGCGCAAGRATATGTGAATGCTTATGGGTGTGCAAAATGCAATGAATAAATGCTAAATGTACGCGAACAACCGCAAAATTGCGCTAAATCCAATTGAGTGACTTAAATGTACATAAATAAATATGGTGGTATCTTGGTTTGATAMATTTATTAATTTTTTTGGTAGTCGTTCATTTAATTTTGAGGGACATACAATGATATAAATAATATTTTGCATAAGAGACAACCATTAAATGCATATTAAAATGGAAACGGAAATGATGCATGGCAGACACATAAAAACGTCAACGACCGTATGTGTATACACATATTAGGGTGAGCCAAAAGAAAGCAATTATTATTTGAAAAAGTTATAATAAATATGTATGCAGAGAAAAAAATACTCCTGCAARGTGAAGCTAGCTTAGCTAACTTTGATAAATATATATACATATGTATTTATAATTGCTGAACCTTTTAGAACTCAAGTTTTCACATCGCGGAATATAAAATTCAATAAAAAGCTTTGCTCAAGGGAATTTATGCAGAATATAAAATTTCCCATAAAATTTCCCACAGGGGAATTTTTGTAATTTAGAGGAAAAAATATTATGTTAAAATATATCTGCAAGCTGGGACTTTTATTTAACATTAATAAATATTATATAAGTATAATTTTTAAACCATTTAGAACCTAATTTTTCACGCGTGCCTTTGAAACATAAAATTCATAAAAAAGTTTCCCTCAGCAGAAATTCTGCAGAATATAAAATATCCCACAAAATATCCCACAAAATTTCCCTAAGGGATTGAATTTTATCAAAAATATTATTTTAAAGCTTTAGAAAAGTCTACTTAATCTTTTCTTTATAGAATATAAAATATTCCTTGGGGGAATTCTTTGTAACCTATAAAAATATTATTTAAAAGCTTTAAAAAATTATATTTCAGTTGTCCTCAAAGAAATTCATTAAACAAACTTTAGGAAATTTTTTACATTACTGAATTTTGCAGAACATAAAATTTTTTAAAATCTTTCCTAAAAAAATATCGTATATAAAATTTTTATATAAGAAGTTTTAATTTTCATAATCACTTAGATTTCCTACAGGACCTCTACTGCCACCAGCAGACTCCTGCTTATAAATCTTAAAGCAACAAGCGTAGAAAAACCTTAACCCTCATTGCATTTAAATGCGCATGCAGAAGTACATATACTACGTGTTTAAAGACAAGTATTACAAATGTAAAACAAATATCTCTGCACGCATACAACAACAAAGCCGCATAGATGACCGCCCTAACGACCTGTTGCCTCACTCAGTGACACACACACATACAGCCAYGCATAAATTAAWATTRTTTTATTTATGCGCATAACAGTTAAAACGGTACGTGCGCTCACACACACAAACATATGTATATCTGTGTTTTTTTTTTGCATTCGTATGTGTGTGTGCTGTACTCAAGGTGCCATGCAGCAGCGCAGCTTGCCTAGTTACATATGTAGTTAGCTTGTAAACTTGTGCTAAACGCTCGCAAGCTTTTGTAGGTGGTGGCCACATTCATTATTATTATTATTTTTCGCTTTTTGGTTTTTCTGTTTTTTTCGAGTTCACTTTTAAAATTTTCTCAGCAGCCAGCGCTTGTATCTACGCCGGCACCCATGCGTTTGTATATTTATATGTACTTCTGTGTATATTTGTATGTCTATTTAAATTGTATTGCATATGCTACACTCATAATTCTCAGCTGTGCGCTCTTTTTTCACGCTCTTCCGCTTTCTGCTGCTGCAATCACTCTTAGCTGCAACCGCGCTCCCCCGCCCCAGCTCAAGTTATGGCCGGCGCGCTGCTATAAATRTTCGTAACTGTGGCAAAATAAATTTTACTTTTAAAATTTATACGCTTCCCTCTATACACACACACACCAACACCACATACACGCACTTACACTTGCACACTTGTGCTGAAAAAGCCGGCACACCGGCATTTGCATTGCCAGCAAAAAAAAAAGTTGGCTTGCAATTCAAATTGTAACATAAAGTACTTACAACGGTAAGTCACTGCCAGGCAGCTGCCACAATCACACGCGCGCACACCCACTCACCCACACATACACATATACGTCTGTGTATAAATAAAAACTCACTTACCTGTAGTTATATTCATTACGGCCAACACATGTAACTGCCAACCGGAAAAGCATTAAATATCTGAGCTGCTTGCTCGTTGCTGGGAAATAGAAAAAAAGCAAAGGATTTACTCCGCAGCCGGCGTATTTGTGTGTGTGTGTGTCGTGATATTTATATGCATATAAAATATATTGAAATTACCCATATTAATATTTTATGCGCGCAGTTGTAAGCGTTGACCTACATATTTTCGCTG